ACCGAACTGACTCTGGGCGACAAGACCAAACTTCGACAAGTTTCCTTCGCCCAAAGCCGTCGTCATCCTGCCAAGAAACGAATGGCAAACTGCGAGCGCACGCCGCGTACGACGTAAACCTATTCATATATTCCACTCAGCGCATAGCTAGTTTCGCGCCAACTTCTACATTGGCCTTTTCCCTCCCTCCGCTCAACAGATTTCCCAAGCATCCCGCCTTGCAGCTACACGCCCACAACCGCGCTTCCCGACTGATCGCGCCGAGAGACACCACCAAGAATCACCAGCATGCCCAGCACGAGGGTCCGCAAGGTCTACAGGACCGACGATGTCGTGGACCTCAAGGATGAAGAAAAGGAGCAACTGCTCGAGGTACGTTGAGCTACTCGCAATTTTTCCAAAGCTTGACCGTTAGCTGACAGCTCTACCCCTCCAGAGCTACCTCCCAGACGGCCCACCCCAAGACGCACGACGACAATGGCGCGACGATGATATTCCTCCCAAGGGCAGGTTCGGCCTGAGACGCGCCCTTCGCTCGAAGGTACACCTTGCGATTTACACAGTTCTCCACGCCATTTTCTCTTTGTACATTCGGATACGACAAGCATGGCATCTCGTGTGCTACCACATATCCTCCATCATGTTCTACCACCACCGAACCCCGGAATATATCGAGCGGGATGTTGTTGGTCTGAAGAAGAAGCCGAAACATCTCAGCGTCATTTTAAAGCGCGAACCAAGTGGGAGACACGGGGCTGAGTTGGAGAGATTGGTCGCTGAAGCGGCCGAGATTGCCGTATGGTGCGTCTGCGCCAAGATTCCCGTCTTGACGGTGTACGAGCGGACAGGTAAGCTGCTGATTCTACGTGTATATCCCATCACCCTGCTGACTTTTCCTCCCCCAGGTCTTCTTAAGCACTACCTTCCTCACCTGCAACAATCGATTATCCAGAAGTCGCGATCCTACTTCGGTAGACACCAGCCAGCTTTGACCGTGGCCATGCCGCACGCCGACGACGTCCTCGAGTCCCCAGCCCATAGAGATTTCGCGCGCAACGACCCACGTCACCTCAAGGTTCTCTTCATCTCCGCCGAGGATGGGCGGGCGTCCATGGTTGATCTCACTCGCACCTTGACCGAGATGTCACAAAAGGGCAAGCTCCACCCCCGTGACATCAGCACAGATCTGATCGATGCGGAGCTGTCGGAGGGAATCATGCCGGAACCCGATCTGCTCATTTCCTTCGGTCCTTACGTCGACCTCGATGGCTACCCGCCTTGGCCCATTCGCCTCACAGAGATCTTCTGCTTGCCGGATAACCAGGGTGTCGGATATCAAGTCTTTTTAAGAGCGCTGCTCAACTTTTCCAGCGCACAGTTCCGCAAAGGCAAATAGAGAGGTGTTTGGGTTGCGTATACCCCCATGAAAGATGTCATGACGTTCCCTTGAGCTGGTCTTTGGCGGAAGATACCCGCATTTCCCGCATCGTTTTGTCCCACCGATAGACAGGTCCGGTTCCGACGTTGTAGTTGTAGTAATTATCAGTTCCTTCCTTCACCATCGCTCGCCTGAATGTGATGTTGATTCTCCCGCCATCCTCCGCATTCTTGCCCGTTCGCTTGGGTATCGAGTGAAGCCAATTCGACTGAGTGCGTCCGCGCATGAGGATCATGTCACCGCTGGCTAATGGCAACTTGATTTGTTTGGGCTGCGGTCTATCCGGATGCTCATTGTCTGGGGGTATCGGCTTGTGCTTCATGAGGAAATCCCTCCTCGCGCCGAGGGAGAAGGAGGCGATGGCTGGATCCGGACCAAGAAACCTCTCATCGTCGCTGTGGAAGGAGATGCTATCCGTGCCTGAAGCATAATAGTTGACGAGACAGAAGTTGAACTTGCAGTCTGTGGCGGTCTCGGCTGAGCGACGGAGGTCATCTAGACATTTGGGGATTGGCCGCGGTGGGTATCTCTGGTACAGTTTGTCAACGACTTTGAAGCCGGACTTCCTGTCTATGACGGAGCCATCGTCGTCGAATCGGGATGTGTCGTCCAAGCCAAATACTGTGGTGTACCTATCCATGTGAGTTGGTTTCATACCTCCAAACATAAACCTTCTGCTTACCGTGGCGTGCGAATGTGGGTTTGGAAGCCGCCTCTCTTAATATCATACTCCACTCGATAGAATGGCAATTCGGACCGAAGAAACTCAAAGAGATCTTTAGCCATGTACGACGGAATGTAAGGCTCAAAGTACACCAGGTCGAGGTCTGGTTGGTCATTCATGTCTTTGCCTGGACGGGCAGGGAGTGACGAGAGCTCTTTACTGATGCTTGTGGGAAGCTCTGAGATAGGTATGGGATAATTGGCGTGAGTGGACTGGCCGACCTGATACTCATGAATTTCTGTTAGTGGTGAATTCTAGAAATGTATTTGAGCCGCAACGAGACATACGTTTTCGCTTGACTCATCTTCCTTACGCGGCTTCTTCACAGATGGCGTGAAGAAGGAGTCCAGAGTTCGCTTCTTCGACATGATATATGAAGGGCTTCCAGACAATGAGAAGTGTCGTGTAAGTTGAGGGCGAGCTTGGATGAACCGGCGCCCGTTGAGCAGTAGCCACATGCAAATGATGGCTCTAACCAATAAGCAGCAGCCGGGATCCCAGTCTGAAAGACCCTTAACTCTGCAAATGAATCTTAACAAGACACATACTCTACAACTAATACGAAAGCTGATGTGACCAGTCCCTCACATTCCTCTCAGACATGCCTGTCGACCAATCATCAATGACGCTTAGATCACGAAGCTCCAGTGACATCATCCTGTGGCGTCCAGGCCCCACTCCAGCACCCGCCGATCCTCAGCCTCGCCAATACGCCACATCTGGGACCCCTGCCCCTCAGCCCTAGACGGAGGTTTTTCCTCAGCCTTGCCCCTCCATGACTGTGCCCGATTATCGACTCATCAACATGGCGGTAAGTCGAGACCCCTGCACGGCCGACCAGCCTTAGTACTTTGAATATTGTACTAATATCATCGTGAAGGACTCGAATTCCGATATGATTAGCCTCCGCGCGCCTCTTGCCCGCGCGGCTACTATCCTTGACCGTTCCCTCTTTTCTAAAAAGTTGGAACTCGCTGCCGCCACGGTCAAGGACCCCCGCAACATCTCAAAGTACCGCAAACAGCTGGAAAAGGGAAATGAGCTTCTTAGACTTGACCGTCTGGATTCATGCAGAACTGATCCCAAGTCATCAAATTTGAAATGCCTTTTGTTGCGACCTGGCGTGAAAGCTGATAGTGTGTACCCCGCTTATGCTTGCTACATGTCTTGAGCCTGTGACTGACCCAGAACTCAGCACCGACGACATGGGGTCCTGTCTTCCAGGAGGGTATCAAGACTGGAGAGCTGGATGTGGTTCCTTACGAGCTGCAGCTCGACTATGACTACTGGAGCTACCGTGAGTGCGGTTTGTACGGAACAAAAAATGTGACTTTGCTAACCCCTGACGAAGTTGATGTGATGACATCCATCTTGCCTGAGGAACTTCACGTAGAGATCCCAGTCGGGTTCAATACGGCTGGACATGTTGGTACGTCGCCCGAAGTGAAGCCGTGAAACCAGCCACTGACCCTCACAGCGCACCTCAACCTTAAGGAACAGTACCTCCCTTATAAAAAGATCATCGCAGAGGTTATCCTCGACAAGAACCCCAAAATCACCACCGTTATCAACAAGGTGGATGATGTCGGCGGCAACTCTGTGTTCAGGACCTTTGCCTACGAGGTTCTCTGTGGACCCGAGGATATGAACGTCGAAGTCAAGGAGAACGATTGTGTCTTCCAATTCGACTATTCCAAGGTGTACTGGAACAGCAAGCTCGAGCCCGAACACACTAGGCTCATTGGCATGTTCAAACCGGGAGAAGTTGTCGTCGATGTTATGGCGGGTATTGGACCGTTCGCCGTGCCGGCAGGAAGGAAGGGTGTTTTCGTCTTCGCCAACGACATGAACCCCGAAAGCTACAAGTACTTGAACGCAGCTGTCCAGAAGAACAAGGTCCAGCAGTATGTCCGTCCATACAACATGGACGGCCGCAAATTCATCCAGGAGGCCGTTCACCAAGTCTACGACGCTTCTAAGAAGGGAGAGGGCGCTGTCATCAAGCCCAAGCAATCGAGAAGCAAACCTCAGAACCCCCCTCCTCAGCCGAAGCACATCCCAATCCCTCCTACAATCTCGCACTTCGTCATGAACCTACCAGCTTCGGCTTACACCTTTGTGAACCACTACAAGGGCATCTACAGTGGACACGAGGAGCTCTTCGAACCTCACACGTCTGCGAAGCTACCCATGGTTCACGTCCACTGCTTCGCCCTCAAGAGCGACGACGAGGTACCCCTGAATGACATCCTCGAACGTATATACGCCGAGATCGGCGTCAGGTTCAAGCTTGGAGACGCGGATAAGCAAGGGGAAATGACCATTTACAACGTGCGGGACGTTGCTCCGAAGAAGCGCATGTTTTGCGCGAGCTTCCGTATTCCTCCTGAGGTCGCCTTCGCGAAGGAAAGCTGAGATTCGCCCGCTCGGTTTACAGAATCGCCGTCCCCGCAGGCATAGTTCGATGTCACTGTCACCGAGATGGACATGTCGATGCCGGCTTGGTGACACAACTTCTCAGTGACACCTTAACCCGGGGGACACCTCTTTCATTCACGCCACACGGGAAGCCTCACCATCCTCCACGACCGTGACCGATATCCCATCCACGCCGTCCAGGCCTTTACCAACCCCGCCTCGCTTCGCCCAACTTGCAGCCGGTGTAAGGCTGACAAAGCTCTCAGCAAAGAGCTTCCCCGGCGCCTCTCGTATATCTGGTGTACCTAGATGGAGGACTTACCTGATCGGCCGTCGTGCATGAGAGGGGGCTGGTCAACAGAGATAACGTACGGCCACCTGACGGTGTCGTGACGGGAAACCTTGGCCATCCTTCATTAAATGCGGAGAGTGAGGAGTCTGCGAAGTGAAGAGAAAAGAAAGAACAACAGGAGATGGCGGAGGAGGAGGAGGAGGAGGATGAGGCAGGTCCACCTTGTCTCGACCCTCTGTGTCGCGGCGACTACAGCTTCGATACCGACCAATACCGATCTCCAATCGCACATTCCTATATCTGCTCCTCGATATACATGCAATCATGACTACTTGCATTCATCCCAGTTGTGCATATGCGCGCCCCATCCCCCTTCATCTATGAACCCTGGTGGTAGTGGTGGGTTGTCGTTGTCGTCGAACGCCGGAAACCACCACAACGTCCAGCATGTGATACCGCCAGCGCAATCCCGCCCAGTCCAAGGGTTCGGCGTGGTCGAACCGTCGAAGGGACAGCCCCTACCTCACCTAGACCGAGCCTCCATCTCGCGACGCCGCGCGACGCCGTGCGACCCCATCTTCGAGACGACCCCAGTCCCGCCCAGCCGAAGGTCAAGGTGCAGCATCCCGTTCGTCCCCCGCCCCGTATCGCCCCCCTTCTTCTTCTTCTTTTTCTTCTTCATCAAGTCAGGGCTTGGTACAGCTACATCCACACGAAACGCGTCTTCATCATCTGTCCTTCTTTTCGCCTGGTTTTCAGGCGTCGCAGCGGCTGCACCATGACATGTAGATGATGACGAGGGGTTTTGCTCCGGTGAAGCGGGGGCGGCGCCCAGAGGAGAGCATGGCAGGGCCTAGAACGCGAAGGGACTCGGCACCTCTGTGGTTGTCCCATCCCGCCGCCACCACCTTCAACCACCTCCTGCAACCTGTCAAAGCTGTATGTGTATGTGCATGTCTTGTGCGTGTGTGCTTCCTCTTGTCGACTTTGCGACAATCCGGGGATATGTCTCAATGGGCTGTTGGTGGTGTGTTTTGCGCACCGCGAATCCAATATCCCGTCAATCCCTCCAATTCCCGCCAAACATCATGAACAACGTCCTCAGTATACACCACATCCCAGCCTTGAGCATCCACATCATACATCTATCACTATTTACTAAATCCCGTCGCAGCGGCAGCGGACCCGCGCCCTGCCGCGGCGCCGCGCCGTTGATGGGCCCAGAGTGCCCCCCCCTTACCCCCAGCCAGCCTCTCGGGGAGCAGGCGGAAGGGGAAGGCAGGGAACCATTCCTGGCTCGGGCGATAGGTATTACTCAGAAGCCAAAATGATGTTGCCATTTCCCGAACCAAGATTCCCGTTGAGTTGTGAGAACGTCATCTAGTCCGGGAAAACCCACACTCCCTATCGCGCTCATCATTGAGCGGCTTCTCTCTCCACGGGCCCCCAGTGTTTGAGCTCTCATCCAACCGTATAATTTCTCGTCGCAATGTCTATATCGGTTTGCATAGATACTGTGGGTACTCCCATCGTATGCATGATATGGGGTAGGGTCTTTGGGAGATAGGGAATAGAGAGACGGCGTTCGTCTCTGCGTGTAAACATATGTAAAAAAGACTGGGAAAATGGAGCATGGGTACGAGGCATGGCGTGCATGCTGTACGTTGTACGCCCGTAGAACGCATGCCGCGACGTTGCAGTATTCCCTGGGGTCAGCAACGCCAGCGAAGCACATGTGCATGTAGATGTATGGGTGTGGATGTTGTGTGAGGTTCAGCATACTCCCCCTCCAAAGATCCCTTACAGTACAGGTATAGATACCCTTCGTGCCTTCGCCAACTCTTACGCCATACAAGGATACCTAAGACGCATGTATTGGCCCAGATAACCTGGACAAGTAACATTCCGGAGCGCCATGAAAGGTTCCAATTGACCAACGTATAGACATGGTTACACAAAGTGAAGAGCTGTGCCTAGAAATGGGAGCTCCGTCTGCGCCAGCTCGCGCAGGAGAGGCACCCTCCCCTCCCCGCTATTTCACCTGCCGTCATGCGAGGCGAGTTTCGGGACTATGGGTGTTGGGCATGATGATGTGCGTAAACGGCTGAATGACACATCTTGAGCTCGGAAAATGAAATTCAACTTCAATATCGCCCTGGATTGTTAGTTCGACCCAGTTCGGTTGTTATGGAGACAGGGCGTGTGTCTACACAAATTACGAGACTATCTCTGCAGAGCCTCTTGAATCCTGGCATCGATCGATAAAGTCGACAAGTAACAACTCCATGTAGCTAGTTCCTCTATGGGTAGACCCTCCTCTACTATGGAGAGATACGTGGTAAAAATTCCCGAAGAGAATTGCCCTGTCAGATTGACACAGTTGGTTGGTTTTGCTGATCTGACTCTTGCAGCAAGTATTGTAGATCAAGTCTTAGTGTACTGTGTACACCACATCACACTCACAAACCAACGAATTGGGCAATCCGAAATCGAAGCAGATGTTCAGAACCCGATAGCTATCTGTAGGTCACTAAAAATCACCTGATCATCTCGCGCTCAATTTTGTTTTCCCACGGGGAAAAAGGCAAGAACTCCGCTTCTGTCTCCATTCCCCAGTCTCTGGGGCGCGGCAGCGGCTCAATCACGTAAAAGCCAAGAAACCCCCCTCCGTCTGCGTCAACCAAGTGAAGTCCGAGTCTCTTTATTCGTGGTTAGTGGAGAAGTACTGGAAGCGGGCGGGGGGATAGAAGAACCACAACTGAAGTTGGTCTCATCCCCCAAACCAAGCCCAGCGTGTAAGCCAAACGCGCGCCGGCGCAAGGTACAAGAATAAAACCACGCATAGAACGAAACATCAACGCCTCAGCGCCTTGATCGACGATCTACTCTTAGACTAAGACTGAAATCTGATTAACTTGAGCCTAGCATCCGCTGTTTCTCTCCGTTTCTCTCTGTATTCGTATGTGTGTGTACGTGTCTTACATTTCTATAGTTCGTACACCCTCAAACGGGCGTACTCGTGGTGTAATTAGCTTAGCGCCTAAAACCTCGCCAGTCCTAAGAATACACACAACACGTTCACGGCGAACCTCCGTTATGATATCCGTATCGGCCCTCCTTTTCCCTCGGGAACAACAAACCAGCGATGGGGATAAAGGAGCAAAACAACTGATCACTGACTGGTCGACGGCCCCCTCGACGGACCACGAAAATAAAACGGGGGCGGCGGCCCGCCTCTCCAATGCGTGCGTCCCCTTGCGCCCTTTTCCTTTGAAATTCGGCCGCCGTACCACCGTGAAAAACTCCGGCTCTCGTGGGAAAAGCTCCGCAAACGGGGGGCGAAAGAGAAACGAACCCGGAGGCGGAGGCGCCATTTTCACGCGCTTCCACTGGATGCTACTGGGCTAGGTTCCGAACTGCTTGGGTATGCTTAGTGAAATGTTCAAGCCCGGACGAAGCCCGTCGCAGAGGGGAGGAAGAAAAATCTCCTCTCTATCGGCCGGGAATACACCTGAGGCTTGTCCGTACCCTGAGGCTTGAGACAGCCAACCCCTTCCCGTGCTACCCACCACATCACGATGCTATCTAGGTATCCATCCTTCGCCTGGCAGAGATGTGAGCCGTCGAATTCGACAAATACGCCCGCCAGAGCCGCCCTTCGCTTGCGGCAGGCACAGATAAGCGTCGTGATCCGCGACAGAGCCGCCGAGAACGAGGAGCAAGCCGATTCAGCACACGCCTCGTTCGCCTCATGCATCCCACCATCTGGGTGCGCTATCACACTATCTGGCAAATACTTTATCCAGCGAGCCTCATTGAGGCTCGGGTGTGTGTGAGTGTGTGTGTGGAAACTAACTAACCTACCTGCCAACCCCCATCCCAAAGACGACATGGCCGGCCTGGCTGGCCGGCCGTACTCATTGACTGACTGATCAAAAGTCCTCGCGATAAACGTCCCGTCACTTGTCAGCTCGCTATTCCTGACGCAAATGACATCTTTTCGCTCTCAGTCCTGCTTTCGTTTTGCCCTCTGCTTTTGCACCCTGCTCCAACCTCCGAATCCTCCTTTCATCGCCCCGATCATGAACCAACAGAAAAAAGTGCTACACCTGTCCAAGCTTTATCAAAAACATAATAATCTATCCGTACCCCCTCCCTCCATCTTCCTCTATCCCGCAGTTGCCTAGCTTCTCCCACCTTATCGGAAGTCCTCCGGTGAAAGCTCCGTAACCTGTTGACGTGGGTAGTTCTAGACCACACCCCTCGCATAACCCAAAACGATCCCAACTTTTCATCACGTCTTGCTCGGTCTACTCTCCGTGCCCTGAGAGTAGGTAGGAGGAGGCGGGGGAAAAGTAAACATGACGTCTGGTTTCCCCTCCTCCTTTCCCTCCTCCTCCTCCTCCAGACCGGAGACAGAAAGACAGAGCCTCATAGCGGTAGGTAGAGACGGTCCCAAAAGGTTGACAAAACCCAATAAGCCCGTCTTCAACCGCACCCGGCCGCCCTGCTCTGCCCCGCGAGGCACGTCCTCTGTCCCAGCATTGCGAACAACATACCGATACCTTACCTTACCTTACCTTACCTTACCTTACCTTACCTACAACACCGGCACCCCTTCCCCGGTTCCCCGGTTTGTAAGCAAAAGCGCACGTACGCCCTTTACCCATCATCTGTTGCAAGATCGTGGGAAAATGGCCCATGCCCTGCTGCAACCCAGGAACAGCACAGATGATCATATACATCATACACACACCCCTTTGACTCTTTTTTCGTCCTTCTCATCGTCTAAAGGAATTGAATTAGGTAAATAGTTGCCCGTAGCTTCCCCCGACCTGTCCGGTCAGCCGCGCTGCCGGTTGTACCTGGCTAGCCCTAGTTCAGACTTGTAGAGTCCAGTTGTAGTTCAGCAAGGCCTTTCCCTGGTCGAGTTGAGTCCAATTCCTATACCGGAAACTCTGTGTCCAATACGATACATAGTACTCAACACACTCCGCGTTCCTTGTTGAGAAGCTATTGGCGACGATAATCCCATCTTCCTCCCTTACCCCGGATGCCGGCCACCGCGGAAGTCTGGATTCATTGCCGGTGGCGCGGGGAAGCAACGGCACCTTGGCAGGGGTAACTCCATGATGATGTACTGTCATGCTGCTGCTGACCTGCCTTCAAAACGCCGTGTTCAACATGGAGACAAGTTTGGGCCTGCGATCACGAACGGGGGCTAGGGTATGCGCGTAGGAGTTATCAAGGCTCATATCACATCGGCGTTTGCGTCGAGGTGCGCATAGCTCTTGGACCTAGACCGAGCCGCAAGCCGCTGGGCAAAACCCATCGTCTCCCGGCCAAGCCTCCTCATACGGAACTTCTGGGTTGGAATGCGAGCTTGCTCACCCTTTGCGAGGCGTCGCGAACGGCCTGGGTCAGTGAACGCCAAAAAAAACAAATTCTGCCCACGTCCCTGAATGAAAGCTGTGTAACGTGTATACCTATGCGAAGGTTCCCCGCGGAGAAGAGAGGAAAAGAAGCTCGACGTCAAATGAAGAGAGCTTCCGCAGCTTAGGTCTTGGCTCGAACTTGAACTCGTTCGTTTTTCTTTTCTTTTTTCTTTTACTGGCTCGTCGTATGAAGTAGGTACACGCATTCAATAAGCCCTTGTCGAATTATACGATGAAAGCTTCCCTTTTCCCCGCGTTTTGCAACTCACATAGTTTTGTGTCTTGTCATCTATAGACTTTCTTCTCTTGCGGAAACGTGGCAAAAAAACCGTTTGGTTCTTGCGCCG